ATTATTATTATTGAGCAATTGATATATCCAAGCTTATTTATTTGTCTCGCTTTTGATGAAAAATATGCCATCTATCTTAAAGAGAAACCGAAATATTTGGGACTAAATGAGACGAATGCCACCTGGAGACAGGGGTAAAATGATAAGCGAGAAAACGGCCAACAAAATTTAGAGGCTTTCAAAGCCTGAGTGGCCATAGAAATTGCAAATATATCTTATTAATTTTGATGCGCCTTTGATCCAAGGTTGGTTTGTGTATGTACATGTGTGGGGGGGGGGGGGGTGTTGTTTTGTTTTGTTTTGTGTTTTAAACATAAAGCCTTAAAAAAGTGTTTAAATTGATATAATAAGTGTTTAGCCAGAAAAGAAAATCTAGTAAAATTGCCTAAAGGGCAAAAATGAAACGGTTTCTTCCTTTTCATTATTTTGACAAACGTCTGATTTTGCCTCCATGTGAAATAAAGTAAATCACATTTTGAACATAGTACAACCTCAATATTCATACCAACATTATGTTATCAGTGCCAGGCCTGGACTTTAAGCAAAACCCACGAAAGCAAAATCCCCGCATGCGAAATGAGATGTCTCCGCAAAACCCTTAACATCACAAGACGAGACAAGCAGAGAAATGAAGAAGTAAGAGCAGCTATCGGCACTGAGTCCTGTCTGCGTTACATAGAAAGACAGAGGATAAAATGGTTCGGCCACCTGTTACGCATGTCACCTGACCAGCCAGCCTCGAGAGCCTACAACACCAAGCACTCGGGCTTTTAAGGAAGAGGAAGGCCACGCAAAAAGTGGATCGAGGGTGTCAAGGAAACCCTGTGAAAACATGACATCACAACAGAAAGAGCTGTGGAGTTGGCCTACCATAGAAAACTGCATCTCCCCTCGACGCTTAACGGCAACAGAGGATGAAAGAGTAAAATGTAAAAGTAAGTATAACCACATAGTTCACTGGCCTCTGCGATAGAGAGGAAGAAAGAGAGAGGGGGGGGGGAGAAATAGAGAGAAAAAGAAGGAAAGTCATACAGAGGTAGAGAGCGACAGGAAATAGAGAGCGCGTGTAGTGCAAAGACCTTGAGAAACTGACAGAAGAATAAATTTACATTCCGTCAGCAAACAATTTCCGGACAGCTTCCGTTTCTCGCTCGTTAATAGGATCGTTAAGACAATTTACTCCACTTCCAAGACCACAGATGTGTCACTTTTGAGTCGTTTTCGTCCACATAAAGTCAAAGAGAAGTCTTTTCCTGCACAGGACCCTCCACAGATACAGAACAGGCAAGCTGGCAACAATGAATTATGCTTGTCTGGGAGATCTTCCATCTACAGAAGTGGGACAAGAGACAGGGGGGGGGGGGTCGACGACAGTTCAAGCCACAACAGAGAGGAGATGGAGGCGAAAATATCACTTAACTTTCGGCAGCTGCTCGCTCCATAGATAAAGTAGAACGGTTAAATAAGATCAGTATAGTGAGGATTATTAAAACATTAAAACAGCCGGTCAAATTAATGTATTTGTTGGTCATTAATTTTCCTGAGGATTTGTTTTCTGTCTCTCTTTTTCTTTTCTTTCCTTGGTTTTTGTTTTGTTTTTGTGTTGGTTTCTATCCTTTTCATAAATGTATCAACTTTTTAATATGTATGACTTGTGAATTGCCACCCCCACCCCCACCCCTTTCCACACATGTTGTGCCCCTTTTTATATCTTTTTTTTTCAGATTCGAGTTTACGTGTACAAGTAGTCAATAGTTGTTGTGTTTTTTTAATCAAATGTACATATACAGCACAATTCCAATTGAGGGCGTAGAACGCGAAAAAAAAATTATATTTAAAATCATTTACTCGCTATTAAGTAGTAAGCCAAAGTGACTTGAAAATATTCAGATGCTGGCTCTGATATCTACAAAAATAAAAGAAGGAGGTGTCTCTCATTCAGAACATTAACATTGGGTTTCTGTATTGGCCTCGGACCTCAACGCCTCATCGCACTAACAGTCTGTCTCTTTCTATATCATTATTCTGTGGAAGCGACAATCAGAAAAGCGTGTCTGTCTGTCTGCCCCTCCCCCCTCCTCTCCACCCCTCCCTCCCCCTCTCCAC